TAAATTTTCAGCTTCCTAGCTTTTGTGGTCCCCGAGTTGAAAGTTGCGGACAAGTTGCTGCGGACAAACACACAAACACACACAGACAACCCCGTGGCATTTTGTACTCCTGTTACACAGCACAAAGCGCATAAAAACGTATGCTGTGACGACTCCGGCGTGCGCGTGTGTATGTGTGTCTGTCCGGGTATTTCAACTTGCAGCCAAGCAGGCTTCAACACTGAAATTTTGCCACTGGTTCCTCAACCAAGAGCCGCCTCTGGACCGCGGTGCTAATCCTTGTGCGCGTCTGGGCCCCGCGTACAAGCGCGAAAGTTTTACCGGGAAAATTGCTGATTCGGGGACCAGAAAAGCTAGGAAGTTAAAATTTTGAGGGGATGTCCTACGTCCACAGAGAACTCGAAGATTTCAAATTCAGCCCCCAGGTAATGCGTGGTTCTTACGTGCGGCTCCGTGGAAATTTTTGGCGGGAAAGTTGCTAACTCAGGAAATAGGAAAGCTGGAAGGCTAAAATTTCCAAGGAATGTTCTTAGCCCACTTGCAGTTTAAAGATTTCAGATTCAGCTCCCAGGTACGCGTGATTCTCAGGTATGACCTCGTGAAAATTTTTGTCGAAAAAATTGCTTAGTTGGGAGCAGGCAATTTGGAAAACTTAAATGTTAGCGGAGTGTTCCCCGCTCAGCACCATCTAGTTGCACAATTAATTTCCTGAGCTTCGAGGACCAATATGTCACAAATTCTAGCTGCTGGGATTCCAAGCGATCTTACTGCAGCACGGTACTGCAAAAACGCATAACTGCACAAGTCTACCTGGTGCGCATCGCTAATGATTATTGCTGTTGTACCACCAATTAACTACTGCGCAGTTTGAAATTTAAGTCGTCTCATGAAACAAGATAAAATCAGTAATCGAATGGGAGATAAGAAATGAATTCATAATTCATAAAATTTTTCTTTACAGGTTAATTCCAATCCTGCATTAACTTATTTTTCAATATTTCGGTAGCTGATGTCCTCTCTATTTTTCAATATTTCGGTAGCTGATGGTTTCTATGCAAAAATTAAGCTTGAAAAAGCTCTGATTCAATTTTGCAGCTAAATGCGTGTCCTAACAAGTGATTAAATTATTTAACTGCATGCAAAATAAGGAAATCCTGGAGGTCGGCAAGCAGTATTCTTTTTATTTACGGAATTTTTATAAGAACGAAGTCGTGTCAAAGTATTTGCTGGCCGGCGTAACGCACCGAGGTTACCATTGCTTCTGTACAAAAAATTACCAGTTTGAACAAACAAGAAAAGTAAAACTTGACCCTCAACTTTAACATTTCAGTTTTTAGCATACCGGTCCGAATTTTTCTTTATTCGTTCTCGAGCCTTGATATTGTAATTATATCCTATGGAAATGATCGAAAATGAGCTTTTTCATATTCCCTTTGGCTCAAAATGAAAACTATTAACGAATAGGTATTTATTGTTCAGACCTGAAGTATGTTTCATAAAATAACGCGACCAGCTCAGGAAAAAATCCACTTCAAATGCTGTAAATTTAGTAGCACAGGTAAGACACAGCTAGACTCGATGTCTGGCTGTACCTAAGTAACGCCACCGGTACCAAGCAACCACATGGGCGTCGGATGAATACAGTTGTATTTCGGCATAAAAATGGCTATCAGTGAATCCAAGATGTACACTATGCGTACTATCTAACACGCTGTCTGCGTAGAAGTAATAAACACTGCCGCTGAGAACCGGGCGCCTAAAAAACTTAAAAGTTCACATTTTTTTCCAATTTTACAAGTTCTTTCTTCTACTTAACTTTATCATCTGAAACATATGCGGACGTTTATCACCCTCTGGAAACGGCGCAAAAAAAAGCATGAGGTACATCAGCGCGCATCTTCGGTCTCATGCAGGTTTATGCTTTTGCTTGTTAAAAACATTTTTTTTAAACGAACAACATATTAACCGTAACAATGAGTTTCTAGAAGTCGAAAATTGTTGCAGACGCATGTACTGGTTAGATCGAGGCTACGAGCCAGCGGCACTTTTCAGTGCTTCTATGGCTGGGGAAAATGTTACACGTTTG